CCTCACTTTTTAACGTTCAAAAAATTATAATATTAAGTAGTATTATAGTCTTATATCATGATATATAATATATTAACTTAAATTTACACATTTTAAATAATTAACATTATATTATATTATTTTAATTAATTATTATATCTTTTAATTTATTAAAACATAAAAAAAATATAAATTTTTTTTAAAAAATGTAACGTAAGAACATAATACATAATTATATTAAGAAGATATAACATTAATCATTTATACTATCGTAATAATCTCATCCTTTAGTAATATATATTAATTTAATATCGTTAATGATAATTAATAACTTATATAATTTAGTGATATTTTTTAATAAAATAAAAAATTTATTTGAATGACATGACATGTATTTTTTAATATTAAATTATATAATAAAAAATAATTTTTTTATCGTTTAACTTATTAAACTCATTAAAAATTAAAATTTTTATTTTTATTAAAAAATTATTATTAAATTATTTAAATGATCAATTGTGTATATATATAAAAAAAAAAAACACCACCAAGTGGGTTCACAATCATATATAGATGGTTAGTCCGTCTTGACATTTCCCTCAAAAATTAAAAAACGCACTCAATTCAAAATTTAATTTCTCTCCAAAACCAAACCATAAAGCTTTAAAGAAGAAGAAAGGAGCAGAAGAAGAAAAGAATTCGGTCTTCCTCCTCCTAAGTTTCTTTCTTCTTCAATTGATTATTAAGTTTATAATCTGCTTTTTCTTCAGTTTCCGAAATTTCCGATTGCGGTTGGATTTAGTGTGTTGATTGTACGCATTGATCATGATGGAGTCACCGGAGACAGGGAGAGCAGTGGCCTTGGAATTTCCTGTGAGTGAAGCAGCGCCGTATCCGAGGGTGCCGTGGAGGATTCGGAAGAGGCTTCTTGTGGAGTGCAAGACTCCGTCTACTGTTGAAGAAATTGAAGCAAAGCTTCGGCACGCTGATCTTCGCAGACAGGTACAAAAAGGTTCTTTGCTTCTGTTTCTAGAGATTTTGAATTTTAGTTCTGGTTTCAGGTCTTCTGATTCTACTTTGCTTGGTTGCCGAGAAAATGTTGACTAGAAGTTACGTACTCAGTGATTATACTGAGTTAACTCGTTGATTTAGTTGATTCAAGTCTTAATTTCTTTGTTTAGAA